ATATATATATATATATATATATATATATATATATATATGTTGAGAAATTTGTAATGAGTGGTTATATCCCCACATTTTACATTTTAAGCCGCACTTTTGTAAATAACTTGCATTTCGTATCAGAACATTTGCAGTAGTGTAAGTGAGGTTCTAACACACATTCCTTCGTCAGACAGTACAGGTATTATTACATTGTCAACGTTACAAAATAAGAACGCACACAGTGCATTAGTCGTCACACTATGTGACTGACGGAGACGAAGACAAACGTGCAGCGTATTCTTATTTTTTATTTCTTTTAGGGTTTGCCAGTTTTTAGATTCTTAGTTACATTTGAGGAATTGTCTTTGAGTATTTTAACATTTTTCTTTATATTATTGTTAAAAGTTTTGAGAGGCTTTCAACTGATCAAATAACAGCAGAAATGAAGTGTTTCACAAGAATTCTATCAATGAACCACAGCATATTTTATTATTGTTGTAAAACTATCATTAACAGTTGTTTCTCATTTAATTCTTCACTTTTTCTGATACTGCTACGAGTTTCTACTTTTACCTGTATATTCCTTACTTTTTTTTTCTTCTAGTCTCTGTCTACCAAATTCATTTACAATTTTGTGATTCATAATGTGATATTATTTTTAGATAACAAACTACTCAAATTGGTCAAATCGTAAACTTGTTAACATTTATACAAGTGGGGTGCTGGTTTCTTTTTTCGACTGCTGTATATACATTCAGAAAGGCAATCGAATTATTTTATTTTGAAACAGTATTTATATCATTATATATTTAGTTCTTATTTGTGATATATAAATAGTTATTTATCTGTGATATCGGGTGAAATTTGTTATGCAAATACTGTGTGTCGGCTTTCGTTACGTAATTCGTCACAGAAGTTAAAATGAAATTAAAAGATAACTGGTGAGAACGAATTGATACTTTTTCCATTTTGTCGAACTCTTCCATAATACAGCTGGTTGTATTTATTTAATTATAAAGCAAAGTCTGTTTTTTTCCTTATCCGTGAATTACTGCCTTGTATCCTCCCCCCCCCCCCTACTATTTCGTATCCCAGCCGGCCTAAAAGAGCCCTGTTATTAGGCGAAAGGCCTCGTCGGCAGTGGAAATAACAGTTGTAGTCTGGTTGACATTTTTCTTTACTTTCACTCATAAGTTCTTCCTTCTAGCTACCAATGGCGTCTTGGTCGATGGACTTGATCTGGGTGTTAAAAAAGACAAGCCAACTAGTTTCACCAATTCTTCTTAATCATGAGTAATGTTAATTAAAGCTAAATAAATAATATGATGTTAATAAGAATCATAAGCCTAATTCTGATGTATAATGACTGCAATTTAATTGATAAAACTTACAGTTCATCAACTGAACCTTGTTCATACCGAAGCAGTTTGAGTGAAAGGCCTCGTCAGCACTAGATTTAACAGATACCATGTAGTTGACATAGTATTACATTCTTACTTACTTTCACTATTTTGTAATTATACACAGTCGTGTCAGCAGTTCAAAAAACAACCAAGTTTTATGAAAAAAAGCTGTATTGTTGGTTTCAGTAGCTCTTTTTTTTAATTAATGTATTATATCAATCAATGAAATTGGCGTATTTGTCTGAACTCTTGGATGAAATAAGTTTACTTTCCATTGGCTTAGCGGTAAACTCGAGGGTTTATATTACTAATATTCTGGGCTCGATCTTTGCAGTGGACACTGTGCAGATAGCCCATTGTG